TTTCGCCGCGAATTTCGACTGCAACGGAAGATCACACCCTGTAACACGTCACGATGGTTTGCAACAACCCCTGCAACCCTTTTGCCCGTGGTCACCCTTGTTGCCTGTGATCACCCGTGTCGCCCGCCCCCGGTCTGACGGCCCATGCTCTATACGCACAACGTCCAAACAGGCCCGTGAGCAAAAGGCGCGCAAAGCAAAATAGCTTCTGTATAGCTAGTGTTGTATTAATAACCTAAAACAAAGCTATGCTAGAGAGGAGTTCAAAATTTGTAGATGCAGAGGTGTAATAAAGAGAGAATGTAAGCGTATGAAAAAGACAGCAAGGCGCAATTTAGGTTGTGTAGGGTATTACGTTACTAATTAGCTTAGCAAAAATGTTTTTTCTAGTTATTTAATGATGTTAGCATAGTTTACTACAACTTATTTAACTATATAAACTACTATTGCTAATTAATTTAAGCTAATAGGTCCTTGCAAGCTTAACCTATGTCTAGAGACAGAATAAAAATAGTCTCTTCTATTACTACTAGACGTTATAAACTTATAAATGCTAAAGGAGTTGCGTTCTAGGTTTCTCTATTGCTATAATCAACTTCTCTGTTTACAGTTGTAGGAGTGCTGCCTTGTTAGCCTGTAGGATTAGAAGCGTTTGAGCTTGAGGTGTCTGTTAGACCAAAAGTGTTCAAGCCAGAGGTGCCTGTTAGACTAGAAGCGTTTAAGCTAGAGGAGTTTGATTAACTAGGCATAATAGATAATAAAACTATTCTTGAAGGCAAGGAGAGAGAAGTCTAAAACCGTAAGTATCTAGAAAGAAGACCTATAATAGAAAGGGCAAGATATATCTTACAGTAACTAGATTGTCTTTGCAACAATACCGTTTAAGAGCAATAACTTGCGTATATAACTAGATAAGAATAGAAGGCGCTGTAACAGATAGGTAATGCTTTAGGTGCGTAAAGAGAAGTAATTTAAATAAGAAATGTTTATTCAACTATTGCAGAGATGCGGGTATAAAAAGGCTTGCAGATTAATAGAATCTTACTGCTTAATGCTCTTCTTAACCGTTATATAGGTTATTCTAGTACAGTATAGGCCGTTCCTGCGCTGCCTACAGAATACAGACGGGATAACCTGCAAATAGATCAGTAACCCTACAAAAGTTTGACGTACTGTTCTCTACTGCAAGCCTTGTGCAAGCCCCCCAGACAGTTCACTATCAAACTACGTCCAGAGCTTTCCACGTAACTATGTCTATACGCTGTAGATCATCAGTAGAAAGACAATGACTGTATATGGGATTTCTAGTCAATTAAAAAGAGTGGAGCAAATCAGGAGAGCTTTAAACCCGCAATAAGGCACAATGCGCTGTGGCTCGGATTGAACATTGGAGGGTAGAATGGGATTCATTTGCGTTACCCTAGCTTTCCTTATCTGCCCTATGTCGTTTCTATCTGACGGCCGTTCGATACTAGTAAACAACGTTGAAGATGAATTCTCCTCGGTGGTGTGCGTACCAAAGTCCGCGGCACCTTTCTGTCTTAATTTCTTCAACAACTAAGGGACCAGCACTGGGTAAAAACTCCCCATCTCTGTCCTGGATCTGAAATTCGTCAGCAGCGATTAGTGAGAGTAACAAGAGCAAATTCACCTGGAGAGAAGCTCGTCTGTCCCAACAGCGAATCAGCCTTACAGTTGCTACAGGCTCTAGTCGAACCTCCACTCGACCCTTTCCAGCCTCGGTGAAGATGCCAACGAGGGCCAGTGACATGTCGTAGGAAAGATATACTTTGTCCAGATTACTGAAATTAATAGTAGAGGCTTCGACATAACCTGAGACTTGAAGGTAGTCCTGAGGGTCTGATGCCGTAGGTAGTGGAGCCCAGCTGCGAAGCGCACATGGTAGGATAGGTCGAGGTTGGGCAATATTGTGGCCAGGCAGATCCGTGCTAATCATTCGACATTTGAGAGGCTTCGTATCTCAGTACCAGAGCTCTACGATTAGGAAGTAGTACTTACGTCAGAAACAACCCAAATAGCTGTAAATTTCCTTATATCTAGAACAATGTTATGCTTGCGAATATCGGGACGTATCCATTTGTAAAGCCCTTTCGCGTCTACTTCGAAAGCGATATTGAGGATCCCCAAACTATTGACTAGAAGCGCCAGTAGCTGTGGCTGGCCGTTTTTGATGTTGAAATGTACAGTTCCTGGACTTAATGACCGTTGCCTGATACTGCGCAGATATTCGTCGCCGGCAATGGATATAAACTCTGCTTCCATGTTCTGTGCAAGCTTCACGAAATTCTCAGTGAAGACCTCATGCGAGCTATTGGAGACCAGGAGAGGCGCTGCTTGGATGCACATTGTAATACGCGTCCTAACGATATCTCTCTTTATAAGTTGCATGAAGAGATCAGGTTTCTCACATGCCGTGATCATGAGAGCATTACTGTGCTGACAGTTCGAGAAAATTGCCTCGTAGAGCTCAACAGGTAGCTTAAAAACCCTGTCAATTAGTTTGCTGAAATCTGTGGACTTCTTCGAAATTCTGTCAGAGCTGTTAAAGCCAAACATCGAGACTAGAGCTCCTGCATCCAAGCTCGACAGACCATGGAAATTCTGAGCATCGACTGGGCTTGTCAACCAAGCGGTGGTGATAACGTAGCGGAGATGTTCCACGAAACGAGGGCATGCGCGCTCGAAGATCAGAAGACAAAAGTCGTGGATAAGATAATCGCTGGGAAATGAATTGGCGTTGTGGACGGGCAAAGTTGAGATGGTAGTCGAAACGGTTGTTCCTGGCTGTGTTGAGATGCATCTAAAACCCCGTTTCCTTTCATCGACCAACTTCCCACAAATACAGCATGTGGGTTCATGCCAGGGCTCCAGATTGAGGCGGCTCATAACGATAAGTTCAGTGGGAGGTAATGGAGAACTGGAGTGACAGAATACCGAAGAAAAACGGAATGTGAAGGTAAGACGAAAAAACAAGGATTGTGCACGCATGACCACAGTGTACTACATACCGTAACACGCTAGAGCCTTATTGGTAAGAAAATTCCTCGGTCTCCGGCTACCACATCTGGCTTCATCTCTCTCGCTTTCTATATCTATACGGCTACAGACAGACCATCCCTACCTTCAAGCCTGGGTCTCACCTCGCAGCCATCGTGGCCGCGCCCTTCCTTCAATACGATCGCTCAGCTAAACCCCCCACCGCCTATCCGTGCCCTTTCTCCAAGCTACACTCAACCCCAATACCCTCGTTTCGGCTACGTTGTTCTACCTACAATCTCGAGTCATTTCCTGTTGTTTAGCGCATCTGTCTAGAGACGAGGGAGGGTGCATAGGATGGGAAACGTCCTTGGATAGGCCTTGCAACACTCTTCTCTAGCTTTAAGCTGTCAAGCTAGTGAAAGACACGGAATAAATAGAGTTAATTTCGAGAGAACACGTTGGGGAGATCAACACCTTTCCCCTTAAGATGCTGGAGGAAATACTGTTGAAACTAGGTACGGAAAATATACTGGGCATAATGCTTGTCTGTCAACAATAGACAGTCTTTATTAGGATCGCAACTTCGGGGGTCCCTTTTCTTCAGTGCTCAGAGGCTATTGTTTCTGGTGGTGACTCTGATCGTTTGCGCTTCTTGACCCCAGGGAGAATAGAGTGCTTGATAAGCATGCTTTGCCGCCGGATCTTGTCTTCTGCAGCAGCAATATATTCGCAAAGTTGCTGGCTAGATACGGTAATTTCTGGATTTTCATCTTTAATTGCATCTCGCGTGAGCTCTTCGCAAGCGAAGTCGCTTAATTGAAGTCGTAAACCTGGATGGTTTGTAGGATTTCCTTGATCATCCCGAAATGCCTGTGAAAAAATGTCAGGACTTAAAGATGAGATGACGATGTCTTATAACGGAGCATACCTCATCCACGGTTTCTTGTACCACTCTTAGCTCATCCCCATTAGTAGTATGAGCTATTCGAGTTCTCCATATCGACAATGTCGCCTTACGCGACCCTGCTTTGCCATATTCAACATCCAGACCCACAACAACCTGCACACTAGCATCTGAGTCTAGAAGATAGTCTTCAGCTAGCCGGCTTAACCTCTTCCTCTTCTGCGAATATGCGACTTCAATTATAACGCCTGGGTATTCTGCATCGTCATGCCAGAAAGAAGCATCTGGCTCGTATTTTGTCTTTGCGCTAGGCGGAGTATCATTGACTGGGGAATATATCACGGTTGATCGGGCTGTTCGAACTTTCTGCGCAAAGAAAGCCGCCTCATCTGAGCCACTGCGAATTGCCTTCAGCTGACTTCGAATCCTGTCCTCGACGCCATCAATGAAGAACTCGTGTACGATGGTCGGCATCCGAACAACAAGGCGATGGCTTTCTCCGCAGTAATCATATCTGCTCGATTCCTATTATTAGCTGCTATTCATCATCAGTTCGTGAGCGCACGCACCGTATCTTGTCTTTGACGTATCCTGATAATGAGTCGTCCAGTATGAGATGACGCTCTATCTCATCATATTCCCCGTGGGCTAATTGAAATTCTACCCACGGGTGTTGCCTGAGGTGTTTTCCAGCTTGGATATCCTTGAAAAGCGCAATGACTCGAGGAGCTTGGGTGAAGCTTTTCTTGTCAGTCGGCGGTGGTGTTAAAGGCGCTCCGACGAAGCTTGAGGGCGATGTGATGATTTGTTTCAAGAAATTCTGCGGCAAAGACATAGGAACGAATATTGCGACAGCAGGTGGGCTCGCATTACAATGAATTTCCCAGACGCGCCATCGTTGGCTTCGCAACAGTACGCTAAGGTTTTGTCCAATCAAACATTATTAAAGAAACTGTGGCTAATGCACGTGATAGTGGCTGTGTCCAACACAGGTGCAGTCCAAGCTAAGCCCCAACATTCCCGTGAAGCAAGCAACGGCATTTCTGGTTATAAACTTCTTATTTTCACAAACTGTCATCGAACAACGACAATCGTAGCATCGGTGGTTTAGTGGTAAAATTAGCCGTTGCCATCCTATTGGACAACTTCGGCTAGCCCCGGGTTCGATTCCCGGCCGATGCAAGACTCAAAAAGCTTTCTTTTTGTCTTTTTTTTGCTGTTTTCTTCACTGCCCTTGTGTCCGAGGTGGATGAATTTTCTTTTTTTGCGCACAGACGCAAAAGTGGGGCAGGGAAACTGTTGCGATTTCGGGCCGAATAGACCGGAGGGGCAGGGCAGGGCAGGGCAGGGCATTGATTGAGCACCTAATCCACTGGGGAATGAATATATTGACACGGTCGTCGCGGCGAGTAAAATCAAGTAGTAGTGCCTTCTTCATAGATGCGCGGAGGTCCTGCCTAGATCCACCTCAAAGCTCCATCTCGATCCTGCTGTACATCTGCCTGGATTGTAAGCTTCGGACGTGAAGATGTTGCAGGGATGTTTTTGGTATATATGTGTATATGTGTGCAAAGCAAGGGAGAATGAATGCAGATAGATAGGTAGATGGAGTGAGCTGGGAAAACAGGGGTAGTGCTATAGAAGGAATAGTGCTTCTTCAATGGCACAGCAATACAGAACAAATTTTGTACATAACTTCGCACACGAAGAAGCACAAGACCCAAAACCTTTTTAATAGCTCCTCCGCTTCCACAACATCTACTTTTCGACCCTCCCAAACACAATAGAATTCTCGATCCCTTTCGCATCACACAGACAAACAACTAATCACACTTCCAAATTTGATTCTACGACATGTCCAACTACACAGCAACCGACGCCTACCCTCTCTCTTCCTCTCCTCTCCTCTACCAACCATGCGAAGGTATAAGCAGCTCCAACGCATCTCTGCACCACACACCCATTCTATCCTAGCCCACCGAGCTTAATCTTCCTCCTCGAGCTCGAGACGGAGGTTGTGCAACGACGATGCGACGATGCGACGCATTGATTGCTCCGACAGGTCGTACTGCGCGGGGCTAATTTCATAATTCCACCTTAGCCTGCCCGTTTTCGCTTCTCGATCCTGTATATTGGAGATCATTCGTTGGAATTCTTTGCTCTTGCGCTCTTACAGATAATGGTTTGTGGTGCGCAAACCCCAGACCGCGGGGAAATAAAGATCGGACGTGCAAGTCAGACGGGCCAGGTGCGTGGCTTTCTTCGCTCAAAGATTGAGCCTCACTGTCGTCGTAAGGCTGCGGAGAGATGCTCGAAGACGGACTCGGCTTAGGAAATAGAACTCCCCATATGCGAACAATCGGCATCCTATCTATCGAACGCTCAAGAGAACATCTCCTTGACCCTCTCGTCCAATCCCGGCGTCGGGGGCGCGGTATTTGGCGTGGTTGTGACCTGGGGCACAAGGCCCTGCATCATGTACACCAGATCGGCCGCCTTGAACGGTTTCTGCATGACGCGATTCTAGATTTCGATCAGCAATTGCTCTCGAAACTCGTGGATGGACATGTGGAGGACTCACTGCGCCAGCAGATAGGGCAGTGTCAATCTGCTCCTGCCTGACATTCGCCGTAACCGCAATCATTGGCAACCTCGGGCCCATGCGGGCACCCAACAAGCCCTCGCCTTCGCGCTCCCTCTTTCGAATCTCACGCATGGCATCGATCCCATTCAATACTGGCATCTCCAAGTCCATGAGAACGACATCGAAACTTTTCTGGTCTAGGAGGTTGAGGGCCTCGAGTCCGTGATTTGCGACCTCGACAATACACCCTGCCTTCTTAAGCTGTTTCCCTAGAACCTGTTGATTGATCAGGTTGTCTTCGACTAGGAGGACCTGCAGCTCATGCGGGGCCACACCGACGTCACCGCTATCTTGGACGAGCTCCCCGGGTGTTTGTGGGTGACGATCAACACGTCTCGTTTTCACGTAGAAGCCAAACGTAGAACCTTCACCCAGCACAGAGCACACGCCAATTTCACCACCTTGCTTTTCTGTCAATTCTTTGGATATGAACAGCCCTAGTCCGCTGCCCCCATACTTGACGTGCGTGCGCATGTTCGCTTGGCGAAAACGCTCGAAGATCTTGTGGATTTCTTTGCTCTGCATGCCAATACCCGAATCTCTAACGGCAAAGGTGAGATAAACTTCCTCACCTGTACCCCATTCTGCATTTCCTGTCACATCCCCATTGTCCTTGCTCTTGGCAGCCCAAAACATTTCTTCGGGGAAGAAGACACGTGGATTGGATAGCGTCGCACCAAAGCGAATGGAAATCTCCGGGCGCTTTGACGACTTTACAAACTTGATGGCGTTTGTCAAGAGGTTTATAAAGATCTGGGTAACGCGGGAGGGATCTAAGTACAGGAAGTCAATGTCTAGCTGGACTAGAGACTGGTCTTGGGTGATTCTGGAGCGAATCTTGTTCGACTTTAACTCAGCATTGAAGATGCCAACTATGGAGTTGATGAGCTTGGAAGGCCGCACGGCCGTCGGGGTAATGGCCAGCAGCATCGAGTCGAGCTTACTAAGCGTAAGCACGTCGTCAATGATTCTCTTCTGGTGACTTGCACATTGCATGATGATGTCTGCGGAGGCAACGTTGTCGGCCAAGGCGTCGATGCAGGGCTCAGGAATCTCTGCGGATTTCAAGCGGAGCTCTTCAAGAGCATGGCTTATTTCATCGGCACAATGCACAATGGCGCTCAAGGGGTTCCTCATCTCGTGAGATACGACGTCAATGAAAGCTTCCTGTTGCCGCTTGGCCTCTCGAGCCTCTGCGGCTAGGCGTGCTTGGAAGGTTTGAGCCCACTTGAGCTTACTGATGTCGGTGGTGCAGGCCATGATGGACTTGACTTTGCCGTTCTCGCGGTATGGAAAAGCTAGGACTTGGAGCTGGGCGGGTTCGACATGTCCAGTGGGAGATGTGTAGGAACGTTTGAGGCGGAGTTCCGAATTCACGTGATTAACACCATTGATGAGCTTGTCCCAAAGTTCTTCTGCTTTACTCCTGTCTTCGTCGAGGTAGACGTCAAAAAAATGCATTGGCTTCATCTGCTCCTGCTGGCTTTTGCCAGAGAGGGCGTAGTAGTGATCATTTGCCCACAGCAACTGGCCGCTCAATGAAATGTGTACCATGCCGACCGAAGCATGTTCGATGAGGTGGCGGAGTTTCGTGTCGCTGAAGGCCAGGTCGTTCTGCAACTGCAGCTCCCGCTTCTTGGACTCTTCGGCGTCAGCAGCAGCGGAAATGATGCTGGACGCCATCCGGCTCAAGTCCTTGATCAACTGCTGGCAGAAGTCGTCGTGGGGCCGGTGGGGGTTGGTGCCAATGATGAGATAGCCAAAGACACGCTCACCGCTCGTCATGGGCAGGATTACGATCTTCTTGGACGGAGTGCCAAAGCCCTGCCATGAGATGGAATCGAAGCGCTGGTCGTACTCGATGGTGATGGCCTCGGACCCCGCGCGGCGACAGTCGGGGATGAGGCCGTGCTCGCTGTCCAGGGTGTGGCCATCGACTATGAGGTTGTGGCCCTTGGGGAGCCCAATGTGTCCACGCAAGCGCAGCACCGTGGCCGCGCCGCTCCGGTCGGCCTCGTACAAGATGGCGAGGGGGATGTCGGCGCCGTTGGTCTCGAGGGTGGCCATGATGTGGGCACTCACGGCGTCGGGGGTCGGGTAGGGGACGGCAGCCATGCGGTTGAGCATCATGGTGCGGCGGTCGGCGAGCTTCTGCTTGGTGACCTCGACGAGCGAGTTGTAGAAGCCCTCGGGCCGGCAGGTGGGCCCGCTGCTGAGGGGCACGAAGTTGCCCGTGAAGAAGGCCTCCTCGCGCCAGCCCCGCCGCTCGACCAGGAGCGACATGGACGCCGAGTAGTCGACGCCGCGGCCGGTGCGGCGGGCCTCGTCGAAGTAGGACGCGATGCCCGGCCACAGGTCTGGATAGCCCTCGCGGAAGGTGCGGCCCATGAGCTTGGGGTGCGCCTGGGCGGCGAGGGGCTGGTAGACGGCATTGTAGATGGCGACGAGGTCGGGGCCCCTGTGTCAATCAGCCTTGGTGTTCATTCATCCATCCGCGCCCGATATGGCCACTGACCACCACAGACAGGCCGCGCGCGAGTCTGCAAAGAGCATGCGCGTGAAGAGCCGCAGCGTGGGGCTCCATTCCTTCAGCGGCCCCAGCCGGCTGCGCGTCCAGTCCGTCGCCCGGAAGAAGCGCACATGCTCGCTGTCGGGGAGGTCCAGCGTCCAGTCGCGCGCTTCATGGCCGGTATTGCCATCGTGAGTGCTGTTGGCGTGGTGTTGCGGGAGGGCGTGGGTGGTGTCGGCGAGGTCGATGAGGTCCCCAGCCTCGGGCGGCGGGGTAGACAGCGTGAGGTTCTGCGGCATGTCGTCGCTATACAGGGAGAGGGCAATGGCTGGCCAGCAGCATGCTCAAGACGAGATATACAACGACACTCCCATCCGCACATGGCTGCGGCGTGCCGGCCAGCGAGGCCTACAAATCCGGCGATTCTCAGACACCCATAGCGGGATGCGCTAGGTCAAAACGTCCATGGTCCATCATCGTCGGTGTCGATCGCGAGGGTCTAGGCATCGTCTCAAGACTATACCTTTCACAACACGAGTCAACACCATCCTTTTGGCAACACGCCTTTCTCTTTGAAGAGCCACACCATCTGAGACCACTCCACCATGTACCCAATCGCGTTCGAAGCCCTGGAGACATTCGGAATCTGCAGTTTGAGAGCTCGGCTGCGTAGATCGAATTTCAGACACAATTTCAGAACTCGTCGTCACCAAGAAGATATTAAGCGTCGCGAGCAGAAATCCGGCTGCATGCCGGAGCTTGCAGCCCGACTCAAAGAGCCCTGGATACCACTCTCGCAGCGAGTAAAAGGATACGAGACGGAGAGTATCGTTTGGATTAAGAAACAGTGTAAAAGATCTGAGATCTACCATGCCGACTGTAGAGCTTAGGGCGCTGAACCGTTATAGATTTGCAGTTAATCTTCTAGACCACGAACAAGAGGACAAGCTCTTCTCCAAAAAGATATCTCTTAAAAAATCGAGGGATACTTAATAAGGAGGCTTAAGACTAGAGACGGGTGGCTAAGAG